AGGTTTCTTTGGCAAAACTTCACTCTCAGGTAATATTAGTTGGGACACTTCTTAAAACAACGTTTATGATGTTCAATCGCCCCTCTCCTCTTCCCTACGATGTTTTTCAGTGCTGATGCGTCCATACCATCTTGCAGACCAACATCGAGAGGGGCAGGGATTTTAGTTGGTGTACTAAGAATGTGTCTGGGATTGTTTCTCGCATAAAAAAACAATCCAGTGAGAGGATCAATTTACTAGTTGTTAAAGTAAACTGTTTTTCGCCAAAACGAAACTATGTGGCAAAATTTCTAAATTTTGTTATCAAATCTATCAAGAAAAGTGAAGAAGGTATCCCAGAGTTTTGGATACAAGGGGCATAATGCCAAAATCCTAATTAGTTTCTTGGAAGGGTGCACTCAGACATTAAATAACAAGTGTTGTCTTTGGTATGTTTTGCCTGCGCGAAGTTTGTGGCTTCTAGATTTTCACAGACAATGAAGTAAGCCGCCCGTTGCTGAAACAAATGGAAATCATAAATGCTATTGTCTGATTAACGAAGAACTTAGCACCTTTTGTTACCTCCAGAGATTCTTCAAATGTCAAGGATCACGTACGCAAGACTTGCAGTTGAAAAGTACTAATGCCATTTATACAGTACAATCCTATCAAGGGTCTTTCGATACAGTCATTACAACATAATACTCAAACCAAGTTGAATGTTAGGAACATTCTTGAAGTTAGCATTGTTTATTGATCTTTAAAAGCTTTAGCCCACAAGCGAGTACAAAACAGAAATCCCGTAATCTATTTATGAATTCGTCATTGACCAATCAGGAAGGCCTTTTTTTGTTAGAGTAAAATAATGCTTGATACTTGTTTGGTTTCACATATCATTTGCATTTAGTAACGACTGCTACGTCTGCACGATAGTGTTACCAGTTTGTAAATGTTCAAGTAAATATTTTTACTGCTGTATAATACAGTTTAAGCGTTAATCACTTAAAAGTTTAAGGAATTTCTCGTCGTATGATTTCCCTTGAGGCCAGATTATTTCCTTTATAAACTTCATTTAAAGGCGATGAGAGAAGTTCGGATATAACGCGCGCTGTCATTGGTTGAAAGAGCATGCTCTATGAGAGTATAGAGCATAGAGCTGAGCTAAAGCTGTCACGCCATCTGCCAAATTGTGCTATGTTCGACCTTTTCCGGGACTTCTTTTTAGCTTTTTTCCGATAATTGAAAGTGAAGTTTCGGAACAAGCGAGCCGGTAAGTAGCAACAGAAGAACATAGAAGTGGGGAGAAACACGAGACGTAATCGAGTGTTTCTCCCTACACTTCTTTCGTGCTCTAGCCGCTTCCTGCGTGCTTTGTAACAGAACAGAGCACAGTCAAGGCTTCTCTATTTGTTAAATGATGTGGACTCATGGGGCCAGTTATAACACGAGCTCTACAACCTAAACCACGGTTTTACAAAATCAGTGGGCCTTGGGCTTTCTCTACGAGAAGTTTTATTTAATAAATGTTCGTCCGCTCTTAACACTCTTAACAAATAAATGTTCAGATAAAAGGTTCAGCTGAAACCGAGAATTGTTTAAATAAACAACCCATAAAGAATTTTATACTTTTTCTTTTCTACAGATGCTTTTTTTAGTGTGTCTTTTACTCTTTGAGGCATACGCTGTTTCCATTAGCCCAATAATAGGCCGCGATATGGAACGTGACTCCATTCAGGTAATATCAGTAAAACTGTGATAATCTTTCATGACGTGTTAACCGACATCAAATAAGCGTTTTGTCCTGAACGTATTCGCTTTCGCTGCTCATCAAGCAATGACTGTATTAAATCATATCATTTAAGCGCTCCTTTCTATTCACCAAGACAATACAACCTCGGCTTACGCGATGGTCAGAGAAGGATATTTTCCTGGTAACAAACTAGCTCCCTCCCTCACTTTATAGCTGTGATTTGTTTTCTTATTTTCAGGATAATTCAGATCCAGAGAACCAGGATGAGTCCTCCATGGTACAAGCACGATATGCACGTGGCAAGTATAAAACATCTTAAGAACTTGTAAAGTTCACCTCTAAGTCTCTTGTCCATAAGTTATTCCACTTAACAAGCTCAGGAAATGGCAACATGGTCATGTGTTACTATGGACGAAAATATGTCCAGCGTAGCCGAACTACTATTCTATCGTAATTTTAGTGATAGTAACCTAATACAGATAGGTAAAAGTACAAATTTGTGGGATTGGAGTAAAGGTAAGGTGAAACATTGAGATTTCGCACTTCAGGAACATTTTGAGCGAATGACAGTGGTCGTTAACGTTCTTCCTTTGTCATTGATGATGACCGAGTACATCTAAAGGGTCCATTGCTTACGTCTGTGGCTGATGAATCCGATGCAAGCTTAAGAGACTGCGGCTCAAGTTGGATATTGGTGGTTGGAAAGTTGACTCTGGACATCCCCAACATGTCTTCCTCATCGAATTCAGCAATATTTTGTCGCTCATTCTAACACTGTCACTGTTTTGCATAACGTTTCAGAACCCAAAAGATGTACATACAGAAACAAGGAATATAAACCGGGCGCAAAAGTTGACATAAATTTGGGTCCGGATTATGCAAGATGCGATCGATGCACATGTACCAAGAAAGGAAAATTCCGCAAATGCACCAAATTGTACTATTGTGAAGTGGGCTTTCTGAAGTGTAAGGTTGAGGATTATGAATGGCTTCCTGGTAAATGCTGTCCTGAGTGCAAACGAAAAAGTAAGTTACCTACTGTTCATAGCTTTCTCAATCCTCGTTTCGCTTGTGTGCCTTGAGTTTTAGTGTGTGTACAGAGTCCGTGCAGGGATGCTCGTTTTTCTTGCTATTTGTTTCTGTCTTCTGTTTCTGCACTTGCACGCTTTTGAATTTTTTCTTTCATTAACTCTCAGTTCTACGATTTTCAGTTTTCTGTGTATGACTCGCCAGTAGTTCTATAAATTAATTTGTTTAAAATATGCATCGAGGCCAACTACCTCAACTTAATAATTAGATTATTATCATTGTGTATCGTCTGCACTTTCCATTTTTGCTCGTTTATTTTGCGTTTAAGTACCTGAATCTTGACCTCCAACCGTTCCTCACCTAAAAAAACTAATAGGGCCACTTGCCTTCGTTTAGTGGCTTTTTTTCAGATAAGAACTGAAAAAAAATTAAGAATTCAGTTTACTCTGTCAATTACACGTGTACCAGGTGTGTATGTAACAATGGAATCTCTCTTCTAATGCGTTCAAAACTGACCAATTCCTTTTTAAGCTTTAAATATTGAAGTTTTTGATTTACAGGTTGCACCGACGACAGAAAGGTCGGGGAAAAATGGGAGAGGATAAAAAGCATGACGGGCCAAAATAAAGGCATTTGCTCTCTTTGTGAATGTTTAGCAGACGGCGAAGAGTTCTGCCAAGACAGTCGTTTCATTTGCTTTGACATATCAGGGTGTCTGGAGACTGAGATAAAACCGGACTTCTGCTGTCCACAGTGCAGTAAGTATTACCAAAGAGATGATAATGAAATAAATGCATGGAATAAGAGAAAAAGAGGAAGAAAGATGACTCACAGAAAAAAAAAACTGAATAATCACTACATGTTCAAGCTAGAGCACAGGAAGTTTACAACAGCGCAGAAAAGGCATCCTTTTCGTAAGCTAGGAGAGTTGATTGAGGCGAGAAAATGGTCCATTTAAACAGCCTTGAAAAAATTCAATTTAATATCAAACGACCGGTTTTCAGGTTGTGGTTATGTGGACTTTTTAAGCTGCTGTACTGCGTTGAAAACTGCTATTAAAATGTGAACAATTAATAACCTAGCAACAAGAAGTCCAATATGCAGAGTTTCAATGAGTCCATGAGGTGGCAAAAGTTGCGTATGTGTTGGTCTTAGAGAGAGACTGCTCTCTGGGTTATAGGTCCTTGATAACGTCACATATAGAGGGAGAGTAAGTTTTTAATGCAGATGAAGGTAATCATCGACGCGGAACTAGTGAATGTGAAGAAGATAGCAGTTCGTAGATGAAAGTCGCGATCCTTGTCGAAAGTGACTGCATCATGAGAAAAACGATTTTACTTCTTTCGTAGAGTTGTTAATGTTTCCGTACACATTGTTCTCGGCAAATGTAGTTGTTGTCCTCATTTTCGCAAGTACTTGGGGAATTGATGTAGCCAGTGTCCTAAGATGACAGTTCATTGCTCTTTTTCTATCAAACCTTTCAGAAACTTGGGCCAAATCAACTACGACTGATGCACCAAGCTTTACCATTATACCGACGGAACCTACAGAACCACCGCCGTTTCCACGTTTCCCGTTTGACTCCAATGAAGACAAAGAAACTTAAGACCAGGCTCGACAAATGTTTTTTTTTCGCAGATGCGATTTACTTCGAGTGTTCAGATCTCTGAGAGCTTCTAGTTTTTCAAAGGAAGAGTGAGCATGACGATTCTAATGACTTGTTCTAAGAAATAAGAGATCGTTGAATGGATGTGTTCGCGAGACTTAATTAAACCTGGAAATAAAACTTGAAAAGAAATTGAAAACGCATCTTCTTGTTTGCTGCAGTCATTTTAATTTAAATTACATCCAGTATCAGTTACTTTAGTGGTTAAACTGCATCAGGATGATTTTTGGCAGTTTCTTTAATGTTTCGCTGGGAACGAGTCAACCATAAAATTTAAGCAAATGTTTTGATACCCTATCTATCTTCTTTTGTCTGCTATTGCTTTTTGAGAGTTTCTATGATTCAATGAAAAACTTTGCAGATCAGGATATATTGTTCTGGTCCGGCGGTCATTTCATTTCTTCTCCTCATTTACGCACAGTCGAAATTTGTCAGACTATATTTATGCTGTGATGCTTTAACAAAGCGGGACATCCTGAGCGAACATTATTGACGACTATTTCCACTGCTGTGACCAATCAGAACGCGCCATGGTGGAAACACGTGGCCATATAATCAAAGAATGGTCCGGCGGTCATTTCATTTCTACTCCTCATTTACGCACAGTCGAAATTTGTCAGACTACATTTTATGCTTGATGCTTTAACAAAGCGGGACATCCTGAGCGAACATTATTGACGACTATCTCCACTGCTGTGACCAATCAGAACGCGACATGGTGGAAACACGTGGCCATATAATCAAAGAATGGGTCCAGCCTCACGCACAATGAAATATATCCACGAAGTGCATTTGAGTTGACTGGTAACTCTGCAGTCATCTCTCAAATGATCATGGTATCATTTTTCAGTCTTAAGGTATCATGTGCAGATATTTAAAAGCTTTCGTGATATTCAATCATTCACTGCTATAATTTTTGCCGGTTTTCTTCCTTCCATCAATTTGATATCAGAATTATATGCTCTATTGTTCAGATCTCCTAGTTACCTCTATTATGATGAAAGAATTTCATTGTGTTGTCTGTTTTGTTTTCGTGTTCTTGCACGGAATCAATGCTGTGGAAAAGCCAAAAAATATAATTAATACGAATATATATATTTGTATTTTTCTAAAAAATCAGTTCCTCTTCTTGCTTCGAAGGATGGAAATGTATTTTGATTAACAAAATACCCAAATAGGACAAGTCGTGAACACTTTGGTCGTCACTTTTTAATTAACAATTCAGATGTGTTAAATTTGCCAACAATTAATGGAAGAAAGATATCTCTATGGACGCCTATGACTTTGAGAAAGAAGAAAGTTTGTTCTCTTAAATAACAAAAGCCTAATTTTCACGGTCTTCAAAATTGCTAACTCGATTTCTTTTGAAATATTGAGCTGCATTTATATGTTAAAAACCGTTAATTCTTTCTGAGATGACTACTTTTGGGAAACATGAATTAGATCCATTTAACGTGGAGGACAGATGGTTCACTATCAAGTCTTGGGTAGGTCGAGTTTAGCACAGATATTTTAGTATTTCTGTCGTATTTCAACGCCGAAATTTCATATGATTGAACATGCCTTAATATCATGTATTAGTCCATAGAGAATACACGTTACGATTTAGACTTGCGATGCTAATCAAAAATCGTCAGGATTCTTTGGTTGTGCTATTGCTTGCATAAAGGTGAAACACCTTACACTATAGTTTTTATCCTTTTGCGGTCAGAAAATTTGGAGGCTTTCTGGTGGTATACATTTTTTAATGTATCAATCTTGTAAGCCATCGTTAACCGTATCGACGCTTGTGGAACCTGTAGACTATGTTTTGTTGCGACACTCATATGTTTATTTAGTTGGAGCCCAGCCTTATTATTTAACTGTCATTTTAAACTGATGTGGCTTAACAACCGTCGTCAACCACCATTAGCTGGTTGGATCGTAAATAATTTTAACTTTAAGATGGAGAGAGAGTTTAATGTGGCGACCATCCTTAATCTTTAGGCATATATTATGTGGCTACAGACTAATCATATCAGTTCATCTATACTGAAATGCTTGAAATTTCGTTCTTCGCCTAGTTTCTTGGACGGGAAAAATTGGCCTTATTCTTCACTGCTTAATCGAACGTAAATTAAAATAGCCATTTTTTTCAAACCTTCGGTGTTTGACCATTTCAGGCAGTACTTTTGTTTCAAGAGACGTTAAATACTCCGCTTCGGAAATCGCTAAGATGACCGAAGAAACAAAGGGATGCTGGCGTCAGATATAGTTGGACAGATGTCCCAGTATTCGAAGTCATTGCTTTGAGAGCAATTGACGCCATTTAGTTTTTTTTTAATGCATAAACAGTGATCATGACTGTATGGGTCATAATTACTCGGCGAAAACCTAAATTTAAGCAAGAAATTAACGAAATTAGGTTAAATTCTGAGAATTAATTATACAAAATGAAATCGCATTTTTTCCCGCTGACAAAACAAATTTAATGTGTTTTGTAAAGTTAACTATTGATCTAGGCCCCTGACCTCTTTTTGACGTTTGTTTACAAAGCAATAAAGTTGGCGTCTTTCGAATACTTACAATACATTACGCTAGCATCATACCGTTTTCAATAACTTGAATTAAGCGAAGTTCTTGACGTTCCAAAGAGTTGCAATTTATCAGATATATGGTTAATGAGAACTTTGTACTTGGGTATTTTATTTCAGTTATTGAAGTTTTAATTTCATGAGTTGAATTTTTATTTTAAACTTTGTAACCAATTCAGTCTGCCTCTCAGTACGCTTAACAGGAAACGCGAACACCACTGGATTAGTTTTTCTCCGGCTACACCATATCAGGTGAAGTTCAGAAAAACGTCTGTTAAAACGACACTGACTCGCATTTATCAGCATCCTTTGAAGTCAACCTAAGTTTAAAACAGGGCTGCTCAGGAGGTTCATTATTACTTTCCTCATATTTCACCATTGCATTTTGCTGTAAAACCTTGTTATTGTCAGTAACTTCTTATAAGGATAAGGTAAGACGCTACAAATCTCCAAAATTTGAGAATACCATAAGTCAATATGATTTAGGAAGGGTCGTTCAAAATACCATAAAAAATATAGCAATCATGCAGAAGTGAAGAAAAGCCACTGTTTGAGTCTTCAAACATGTAATCAATATTATCTGACAGCAATTTTAGCCTATAATGCTGTAACAGCACAAAATGTGCATGCCACACATGTTGAATCTAGGAGAAACTATTGTGGAAAATCTCTTGTTAAGTGCAAGGAGCAATTGAAACAAACCATTTACAAGTTATGCTGGAAGAATAAATTTATTTTGCCTTTTCATCCTTTTAAAAAGTCGTTATAGCTAAACATTTGAATTCAGACATCGAATGTACTATAGAGTCTCCATAATTGATATTTAATACACTTCTGTAAGTTCAGGGGTGGGGTAGGGCTTATTAATTCCTTGACTTCTGGGTAGGCTTTTATTTCGCGAAAATTCCCTTGGGGCAGAACATCGATGTATTGAATACAATATACAGAATGTATGTCTTCGGTTGAAAATCAACAAAAACGGAAGCTAGTAGAGGCTTTCAAATACTTGCATATTTAAATTGAGCCCAAACGAATCACTGAGAAAATATTGTTTCAGAGTTTGTGTTCAGGGAGGGGGGTGAAAGGACGTATCAAAGAGGGGTCTTTCAACTTGTTATTGAATGATACCATCCAACTACGAATGGTATTGAACTGAATTAAAAAAACGTTGAGAAAAGCGGAAAACTTAAAACCGTCTAGGTTTAAAATGCCGAAAATTTCTTTAAAACGACGACGTTTCGAAGTTACTTAGTGCCATTAAAGATCAAGTCAAGATAAAATACTAAGTGTGCATTTAAATGTAGAAGGAATTCCTTAGAGGTATGAATATGATGGCAAAGTAAAACAAAGAGAAACTGCCCATAAATAAAGAATATAATAATAATAGACACTTTTAATCTGAACGAAGTCAACCAGATTGATAGACTGTCAATTAAATTTTTCAGAGTGCACAAGAAGTAGGAAGATGGTCGTCAAATTCAACGTGGTGCTTATCATCTTCGTTTGTATTTTAATTTCTATCGAGGGTCGTTCGGTTAAAGAGGTAAGTGATTCATGCAAAATACGGAATCGTTCTCTTACTTTAGATAGTTTGGCTTGGGCTGTTTACGTAGATAACATTATTGTCTCTTGGGGAGGAACTTGCCGGGCTGAATAGAATAAGTATTGTTGCGGTAATTAGTTCCCTTCAACAATTGACTTTATCGTTTCCGTATAGCTGTACGCTTGCACCTAAATCGATAACTCAGGTTGTCATGAATAAAGGCAAGGGAAGAGATGGACCAAATTAATGTTCACTTATTTGGTTTTTTTTCAGGACAGTTTTGATATTGAGACCCATAACAAGTCTGTGGTGATGGAAGAACGAGGTACACGAAGAAAAATCGTTATATTGAAAACAGTTCATGAATTTCATATCAATGTTTCAACCATTCTACTACAAAGGTAAGTGCGGTAAGCTGCATGACCAAAACGCAGTGCTTAGGAAATGACCACACGGTGACCGTCAGTCTTTTGTTTCGTAAACAGTGAACGGATGACATCTGCAAAACTCGTCAATGCTGGATTATCGCTAGTATCCATTGCTAAATGATTCGAAACGAGATGCACCTTGAAAATAACCTGACCGAGAAACAGCTTTTAGGAAAGTTGCCAAGTATGACTAAAACTGGGTATGGAGATCTTACAGATACTGCCTCTTACCTAGAACCGCAATGACTCATTATAAGTCTCTTGAAATGGAACATAATTCCCACATGATTATTGGTATTTTGCTTCACATTTTAGGATCAGGAGGGTGCACATATAGGAACAAGGAATACGAACCAGGCGCAACCGTTAACATCGCTGTGGCTCCAAAGTATGATCGCTGCGATGAGTGCAAATGCATTAGAGGGAAATTCAAAAAATGCACAAAGTTATACAGTTGTCACGTAACTAATCAGTGTAAGATGGAAGACTATGTATGGCGTCCAGATAGTTGCTGCCCTGAATGCAAACAAAAAGGCGAGCCCTGTATTATTTTTCTCTTTCTATCGACATATGTCTCTAATGTGCCTAACATTTATTAACCTGTGAACAGTTTGTCTTTCTGTTCTTGTTATTAGTTTCTGTATTCTTTTCTTCAGCACGTACTCATGCTATAGGAGACTTTTAATTTACCCATTTATCTTCGATCTCCACATCACCTGTGTTTCTTTCATTCTGAGTTCTAACTCAGGTGCTCCGTGGTAGGGCCTAAATTCAAAATTTGTGGTTAGTCCAGCCGTGACAGCTATCGAAACTCTTAAGCGTAAAGAGAACGTCTAAGTTTATTACATCAAGGCCTAAAAAGGAAAAAAAAAACAACAAAAACAACAACATTACATGAGAGGGACAATATTTTCACATGCTTTTCACAGCTTTTCACGTTCCTTTATTTCACATGAAGTAAGTTTAGACTGTGAAAACCTCATAAAGAATTTGCTCTTTGCATTGATTTAACAATATTTCTATTAGAGTTCCTTACTTATAGATTGTCAATCAGTAAAAATGTCCGCCTTATCCACTTTTATTTTCTTTTAGACCTTCAAACTCTTAATAACAAATACCCCAGATGATGTTTTACTTTCCCCTTATGCACCAAATTCTTTTCCCCTCGATTCTTCAGTTACAAAGAGAAAATAACTTTCAAATCTCCAAATTCCTTGTTCTCATTCCTGTTTTGTATTTCGTCCTCCGATTAATTATTTTCTGCAGGGACTGCAGATTCCCATTTTACATTTATTCTTGATCTACTTTATCTAAAGAATAAACCCATGGCGATCCATGATCATTGACCATCATTGACGTTTTTGATTTACAGGTTGTTCCGATGACAGAAAAGTTGGCGAAAAATGGGAGAGGTTAGTGCGTTTGCCGGAGGGTGAGAAGGAAGGAATCTGTTCTTTATGCGAATGCAGCGCAGACGGTACAGAGTTTTGTAAAGAAAATCTTTTGTTATGCTTCAAACCAGAAGGATGCATAGAGACTGAAATGAAGCCGGATCACTGCTGTCCTCAGTGCAGTAAGTATCGGCAAAACAACAGATCCACTGGAAGTCCAGGCTCATGATACGAAACGAACGTGAAGGCGATTCTTTCTTCATTGCGTCAACAAGGGTCTAGTTTACGTTCGGTACAGGTCTTGAGCTTGGGATATCACTGGTGGGCCCCTCACACACACAAAAAAAACTTGCTAGTCAATCTAACACGTTATTGTGGCCAGAATTGTGGTAGCCCATAAAATATTACTTTTGAAAAGTTTTCAGCCTGGCTGGGTTAACATGATACTCCATGATGTAAAACAATTTCATTGCTTCGTTTGAGTTAAGATCACAACTAAATGGCGAACTCAGAGCCACTTAATCTTTGCCTTTCTTCGTTCCCCCCCCATCCCCAGAACTTCTGTAGGAGAGGACCGAAGTGGATCAGGATAGCCATTGTTCAAGCCGAATGTTTAGTGACCCGTGTGGCTTGGCGACCGAAAACAAAATTGAAATTTCTAATCATTAAGTCTTCTTTCAAAAGAGATTGTGGGAACGTGAATGTAAGTGTTCTCTAGATCCATCCATAGTTAAACAAAGAAGCAACCACCTCAACCCCTGCGCAAGTGCATTTGTTTATTTTTCCTCTCGAACAAACCTTACAGAAACATGGGCAACAGCGGTTACTACACCACCACCCATCTTTACAATAGAGGAAGGTACAGAAGAATCCTCACTTCCGTTTCCATTTGGTTTCGATGCCAATACGGATCAAGACCGATAACAACAGGTACTGACAAAATATATATCTATAAGACTCCTTCTTTTCATGTCTGCGATAAAAGACATAATGGAGACGTTTCGTTTGTTGTTTTCCTTTTCTTTTTACTTATCACAGGATTTCTTTTTTAACGAGGAGGGTGGGTGGAATTTTGAGAGGGCACAACTGGAATAAAGACAACAGTAGTCTACCGTTAAAATCGATGATAACCTAGGTTATCTGTAACAGAACCTTACATATGTCTAGAATCACGTAGGAACAAAAATGCTCTGTTCGAGCAAAACTTGCGAGATACATTGCCCTTGTTGGTTACCAATCTATGAGGCTTTTAATCTTATAAGTGACAAACTTCTCCAGTCTCATGCTTGTAAACGATCGATTTGGTGTAAGTCTTATCTCAGAACATCTTTTTCTTTTTGCAGGTAATGCTTTTCTTCGGCCATTTACTAACAGGTGTGCATGATGTCGTGAAAAATTTTATTCCGCATTTTGCGGAAGAATCGTGATGATGAATCGAGCTTAAACAAGTCACTTTTGTGAGAACTGTATAGAATATGGAAATAAAGACTAACCAGAAATGGAAATACGGAAATACATTGTTATTCTCTACTGCAGTAATTGATATAAAGTCCATGGCCGGTAATCGCGTTTGAGTTTGATTCAAATTGAATCAATACAATCCCTACAGTCAGGAAGTAAATCTTGCATCATATAAAATACAGAAAAACTTAGAAAAGAAAAATAAATTTTACAATAACTAGTGAGAAGATATCAACACTCGACAACTCTTTCCTCTGCTCTGCCAAGCCTCTTTTTATTTTCTTTTATTTCCCTGTTCATCGTCTATTTTGAAAAGTGATTTAGAAAAAACGAACCTAGATGGAATGGTTTATAATTTGTTTTTTCATTTATTTTTCTGTCACGAGTCATTTACTGACAGTTGAACAAATATCAGACAGCTCTCATTTTGGACGTAAGTTATTACTTTTACACTGGACCTGACCTGGCATCCATGAAAATTAATCATAGTGTAAATGGACGTTTAACACAACACGTTAGTAGCTTTAATTTAAAAATGTTAGCAGGAAATGAAGAAGCATAATTTTGATTAAAAAGTTAAGATCAGTTGCTTTCTTTAGTAAAATTTAATCCAAACAACTCATTTAACTCCAGGCCGCTTGATCGTTAGCGGAGCCTTATCTCCAGCGGAGCCTCATCGCATACAGTCAGTTCTGAATGCCTTTTAAAACAAAGGTCGTCATTAATATCTATTGCCTTCCGTAAACCGTTTGATTAAAATTTAGATAACAAATTGAATGATATATTAGGTCCAATCATTTACTTTTTCATTTCTACTCTTGAGTTTTATATACCGCTGTAGACGCCCAAATGTTGGACATACTGATGAATCAAAAAGCGAAAATTCCTAAGCGCTTAAGTTAAACTCATCTTTTCATCTCAGGTTGTCAATCAAAACATTGCCATATTCATGGAACCAGTCGCATGACCGTAAACAAACTGAGCCTAAATTAAAGTCCCAAACTCCATATAAACATACTTGCAAGGCGCAATTTAAGTGTCTAGACACTCATTCCACAAATTATCACAGGTGCGTTCTCAGTCGTATTTAAGATAAGGGTAAAAAACAATAAAGCTTTTGTAATCAGTTATGGCATTGAAAAATATGACTTTAATCCAATCTCCACTGTGGCGTTAAAAAGGAGATTTAAATGAGGTTTCTGGTGTAATATTTCTGGTTTAACAATCTGTTCATCTCGTGTAATAATCTTCTCGATTAATTGATCGGTTTTTAGTTTCCACGAATCAAGATAACGACTATGTCAGGAAGGTATAAACAATGAGACTGTGATTTAGGGAAAATTTGCAAAATAATTGCACGATTTATTTGCCACAAAAAAGTTGATATCAGAATTATCTTCTCTTAAGATAACATCTCTTCCTTACCATGAGTTCTTAAAGCAAGTTCCATAATTGATTGTTTTGTTCTGTTTTTGCTATTAGTTGCTGCAAATTTCTGTCACCTGGTCAGTGAAATAAAGTAATTTTTTAGTTTTCTCTCCTTTTTATTCTGTTGTGGCAAAAAAAATTGAATGCCGATATTTACAGCCTGAAATGTCAAGTCGTCACCACGCATTGTAAATCTCTTTCAGACATGAAGATTCGTTGAAACGAGCTCAATCAGTTGATAGACAGAAATTAAAACGAACCTGTAAAATTCCCACAATTTATAGCCTTAAATGACAAAGGTAAAGAGATTTCCTTCTTTTGAAATTACAGTAACACGCAAAGTACTCAGTCATTCATAAAACTATTCGATGATTAAAAAACTGCTACCCTGTTTAAGTTGACCGTGTTCTCGCACGTGGAATAAATTCCCTTTGTAGCTACAATAGTAACGTGTCATTATCAGTAATTCATTTTTTCTCAGTTGTCCCACGCTCCTGTCCAATGTTTAACTTCTGTCTCCTATTCATGACAGCGCTCATGACTTAACGTCTTTCCTCACCTTCTCTAACACTACTCAAGACACTTTCATTCAACACTACCAGTTGTATGTACCCAAGGAATTGGTATACGACCCAGCTCAGTTGGTGAAACTTCCCACCCTGGCCTAAAATCAAAAGGTTTGAGACGCAAGTTCTTATTACAGCAGACCCCGTCATACTTTTCAATTTTTCTTGCACTCTGGAGAAAAAAAATTACAAAGAACCCTTCATTCTTGACATACCTAAAATTTTCTCTTTCCGTTCAAGTCATCGTGTTTTTTCAATTTATTATAGTTACATTTTCATGGTCGAATGGCTTGTGCGAAATTTTTCCATTAACAGTTCCAAGAAAACAAACGAATTTCCTCACCTTTTAAAGGGTTTTCTACTTAAAAAATTATCATAAACTCAGATTTATGACCCTATCCTATTCGAAAGAAATTTTCTACTTCAAAAGAAAGCAACTCAACATTTTATCATGAACGACGGACCTTTATGAGAAAAGATGAATCATAATAATAACTGCGGTATTGTGATAGAACAATACTAAACAGCTTTCCATGATTACTGATCTAGTTGCTCGTTATGCATTGGATTGACAAAGAGTATAAGATAGATGTTATCGCTATGTGCAGGAGATATTCTGTAAATGTGGCTACAGACTTTCCTATCTCCCATTTCATAAATTTCTAATTTCTCTCATCGAGGTCTCTTCGATAGACAAGGAAATTGTTTTATTCTTGATGACTTTGAATTGGAAACAAAGCCAAATTTAAAATTACACCTTCAATGTTTAATCATTTCAGCACTTATCCTTTTTTGATGGACGGTTTGAAAACTCGTTAAAAACCGATTGCCGAAACAAAAGGATAAAACAGGGGTGAGTTACGTTTCGCTTCATCCACATTAAGTTCCTGTTAATAAGATTAAGGGTGGTCATGGTTGTAAGGATCGTGATAACTTAGGTAAAGTCTTTTAATAGTAGTATAAGTTGATTTTCATGCATCGATCCTCGCTTGAAATAACAAACTTAAATTTATCATGTTAATTTACAATTTGAATAAATGAGACAAGTTTTGATATGACAGCAGTGAATATAAATATTAGTTTTCTCTATTGACAAAGACGTTCTGCAATTTGTCTGATGAAAGTTCAGTTTTATACATTTTACCTCCAAAGCTGTTTTGACATTCAGTATTGCGAAAATGTCACCACAAAGCTATTCGTGTGTCGTTTAGTGTATTCTTTCGATACATCGCACACTGCACGAGTCTTAGAACAAGTCAGTCAGACCATTGACCTCTTAAACTACTAAAATTTGTCAAACCATATGGCTATCGAGAATTAATTGAGGTCATTTCAATTAATTATTATCATTAATTTTGGTCATTCTGCTTAGCAAATTTTACCCTTATTGCCTGCTTAGTAGGTCGTTAAGTTCACTTATCGTTGGACAGGGATACGCTACAGACCGTTGGATTAGTAATTGTTCCAAGCTAACAGTCGAAGGTAAGAAAATTGGTCTGTTGAAGTTAGGAATGACACTCGGTTAGTATTATTTGAAATTCGCTCAAGCTTACAGTAATGAAGCTAAAAGAGACCACTTTTATAAATGAAGACACAGGTTCAACGCGTTTAACAATCCCTAAAATTTTCAATAGTTCCGAAAAGCGGAACAAATTCAATTCCAACGAGAGTTTCTTTACACGTGGCTTTGTTTAAGGGGAAGAAAGTTGTTACGGATCTCAAACTGATATTTATAAAAAGAATGGACCATAGAAACTTGTCCAGATAATCGAAGATTCCGTATAACTGAAGGTCCGGATAGTAGAGGTTTGTACCAAAATTCAGTATTTTATGTCCGCGCCACAGCCAGGTAAACGATATGCATTCTTCTCGGCTAGTACACAACCGCTGCGACACAAAACTTCAATTTAAGCTAAACCCAGTTACTTATTCGTGGACAAAATTACCAGTCGTCTAGGGCTGTGCTGGTTTTTGATACCAAGATCTTGTAAAAGGCAACCTTAGTCAAAAAAATGAAATGACCACAACCACTCAACAGAATGTGAACTGCTCCTTTCAGACTGCACACGAGGTACAAAAATGGCTGTCAAATTCATCATAGCGGTTGTTTTCTTTATCTGTCTGTTTATGACTCTAGAGAGTCGCTCCGTCAGTAAGGTAAGTAGTTGAGTACGATGCTGTTCTTGTATCTCCTTTAGTAATTGAAAACGCATAACTTTGACTGCTGTTGAAAATATTCGGAATAAATGCTATTTTTTATTACTAAGTATACCTCCGTTACTGACTAAACAACTCTCACAATCGTTGGGTTTGTTCTCAATTGCCATGGCACGCCTTTAAGGGTGTTTCTATCAGAGCACTATAGACACTGGAATTTCAGTGCCTTTACTCAGCCAAACGAGAGTCTTTGTACCGGAAGAAACGCTTCGGAACAGCAAAAGCGAACGCTTAGAAGCAATAATTCGGTTAACAGCACTCTTGAAGCAGAAAGTTGGTTAGATAATCTCACTCCTCCACGAAAAGTAAAGCTAACTTTTTCAGGAGTTCGTGCCCTTTTTTCCCTCCTACTTTCCATGCCACAATAAAGCAGCTACTTCCGGGATTGGTTCATGACATCAATGTTATTTTTCACTTAAACGTGTATTTTGTTAATTTTCAACATGTGTCAACACAGGGATCCGTTGCACGAAGGTCTGGTAAGTAGGCATGCACAGTTACAAACAAGATTCCGAGCTGTAAGAACTGTAAGGAGAGGAAAGATAAAATAGGTTTGAAAGTATGAAAAAGAGGGTTTTTTAAAGGGTGAGATGATGAGTCTCATTTAGATTTGTCATTCGGAAATTGCCCCCACACGGCCCAAACATTGGCCAGTGGCCGTCGCCATTTTGAAAATCGCTTTTTTCATCTAACAGCAATCTGTTTGAACAATCAGCAACTACGAAAAAAGAGATCTTGGGTCAAACTGAACTTTTACCTGTGACCAGACTAAAAGCCTTTCAAGAATCGTGCGTTCTGGTCGCGCGTGTGGGCCCAGGTTGATAAGCTGTTTTCAAAATGTTGGTTGTTGAGTCTAGAGTTAGCACATTTGAAGAAGATTTTCGAACACGTAAGCCACTCTTTGGGATCTCAAGATGCAGTTACGAGAGTATGTTTCTCTTTTAAGACATGTTCTGAAACTTGACTGAGTTTTATCAAAGGGTATTTCTCCATGATTTGGGTTTAGAGTTTGGACTACCTTGTGAGCGACTGCAATTGAATGAATTCCTCGCCTACACGCCACTCGCTTGCGCACCACCCATCTCGGCTTTTGATCAAATTTGAAACTCGTCTTAAAAAAAGTTTCGTTGTTGACAGATTATAAGCTGTTACATATTTTTCCTGTAGCACTTAACTCTATATTGTGACTGTTCATTACAGCCCCGTGCCATGGAGATGAAATCGTTTATCACAACATCACTCACCCAATAGAGAGCGCTAGTTGCACATCCTGTATCTGTTCCCATGGATCTATAGGTGAATGTCATTACCACCATTGCGACATAGGACTGGGTATGCCAATAGAGGCATGCGACAACTGGATGACCGGAGAGGAAGGAATATGCTGTCCTCGATGCCGTAAGAGACGAAAATATTATTTTAAGTAGATCAGAGTAACAAAGGTTTGTAATAAAGTTTACCTTAAAAAGTAGAGGAGTGACTAAAACGAAAACTTGACTGTAAGCAAACCACAGAAATGATACGACAAAAACCGGTTTGTTTTACATGAATGTCTGGCAGGCTATACCGAGCGAGAGCTACTGTGGAAATTTGTTCCTTTCAAGAAGATTTGGAGACAACTTTGTGTTAGCATCGGTGGTGAGCTAAGTTACAGTTAATAGTGGGCTTAATTAAGTTAACTAAGGATGATTACTGTGTTGTCTATGGGAGTCGCTCCTTAGCAAGAATATTACACGTTCTTTAAGAAAAGTAGGTGGGTTTGTAGGAGTATAGTGTTCTTCATGTCGGTTAAACTATCCCCCTAACTATAATCAAAGCTAGAAGTCTTACCTCGTAAAAGTGGCATGGAATTTAATATATTTTCCTCCTAATTTTATTAGCTTGTGATAATGATGGTGATACCTGGGCCAAGCGCGTGAATTCCGAAACCTGCTATGATTGTACCTGTAAAGATTCGTCAGCTCATTGCAATTTAGTCTATTGCCCAGAGTGTGATGGAATCGCTGAACCAATTCCCGGAAGATGTTGCCCCAAGTGCACTCCAAGTTAGTTTCGGTATTAAGGCCTTGACACACTCCATACTTCATATTTTTTATTCGTTTCTCTCTCTCCTCGCGTCCTATTTTTGACATGCCTCGATCATTCCTCTATTTAAACGCCTTTGCTTTTATGTTCTACTTGCTTGACTTGTTCCTTTTGTTTGTCTCACACTCTGTTATTTTTGGTTGATTGAGTTGTAAAAAAGAAAGTATTATCTCCCTGTCACTACCCCATACAGCGGTTCAACCGTCGACAGAGCCTTTGTTCTTCACGATCCCGCTGACCACAACAAGGCCTGATCCAGAATTTCCATTCCCATTCCCATTTCGTAAGAAGCGCGTCATGATGTCACATGATAATAATGACGCACGTGCTGAGAAGTTGGTTTAAGATTCACCACGTAAGAAGAAAGGTGAGAACGAACGTCATTTTATTGACACATGCCAGTTATTTTAAATTACAGAGATTCAGCAGGGACAACGCAAAGCTTTGAAAACGGTGCATACACTAGGCTGAAAACGCGTGATGGACACGACGTGAACATTCACGAAACGTCACCTTGTGCATAGGAGTTGGAAAAAAATTCATTCCATTCCAGCGCTCCGTTGCTCATTTTGTATTACGTTTTGTTAGCTCCATCTGCTAATTAATATCAAAGAAAAATTGGCACAAATCCATGATGACTAAAAGGACGATTCTTCTCGGCCGGAATCGCTTTATCACTTCCTCTTTTACTTTTTGTATTTGCAGAATTTTCAAGATCTATCACGACGAAAAAACTTGGAAAAAGTCACAAGCAATATTGGAAAGAAAATGAATCGAATCCGGACTTTTGATCGTGTAGTTGTATAATGGTGATTCTTTATTAAGTTAGCATGATGCAATAAACGAAACTGATTTTAACTGAAATTAAAGAAACCTTATAATGCTATACAGGTATTTACATTTTTCGAGCTTTTTTAGAATATATATCATATACTTTCCAGGTCAAAGGTGTATCATGCTTTCAGTGCGACAAAATAGCCGACGATGATTCGATTTTAGCTTGCAACGGTAGTCAAAATTTCAAGTTAAGTGGCTATTTATCGGCTAATTAATCTTCTAGTTTTAGAGATGGCAAGATTACCCAAACGACAGACGAGAATACAAATAATGGACGACACCTTACATCTTAACACAATAGCTAGGTAGTTTTTTGTGACACCGAGAACCAATTTTTCCTTTCTATTCAATTTTTGCACAGCTGTTGAAATAATTACATCTTTGTTTCACCAAAAATATACGAATATTCCTTTCAAACAACTCTCATCCTAAAAGCTAGGGAGGAAATCTGCGTCACCCATTTCATTTAGATGCTATCTCCTTGCTCCAGTACTTCCTTTTTTTTTCCTTGGGTAAGTATTCTGGAATAAGATATGATTTTCCAATTGAAACAAAATAAGGTAAAATACTGAACTTGAAATCAAATTAGGAAAAAACAGGCGTGTTAGACAAGGTAAGCCACACGCAATGTTAGTTACGAAATTAGCCGGAACTCAAAAGAAAGGAAACATTTGCTGTCGCCGGAGAGTAACATCACTGCTGACGGATCTTTCAGATCTGACCTTTTTAACTTTGTTCTAAGCACGAGTAATTTTTTAAGTCTAAAAGAGTAAATCACACTTTTAGACAAAAAGTCTAAAAACCTTCATGGCATACATATGCATGGTAAAGGCGCAATTGATACTAACTCGTTTCGACTTAGGTTTTAAGTACATCTTCTGCGTCATTGATCCCTTCTTAAAGTTTCATGTTGTTTTTGAATTAAGAATCCTTCCGTTCAGGGAACAATTTTCTGTCAAAAGAAAACCAATTTCCTTTCTTGTTTAACCAGTTTCATTTACTTAGAATAGGAGCAGATAACCATAACATCCGATATTCCAATTAACTTCTGTGAGGATTGCACTGAATCTTTATCCTTTAGCAACAATTATATCAAGATTCAGTCTCATAGCATTCTTTGTGGGTTTCATTTTAAGCTTCAACGCTAAAAAAATATCTTAATACTTAAGGATTTTCATTGAGTTAAAAAATTTAGGTACAATTCTGCAACCGGATTTTTGTCTAATTTGTTTTCTTTGCTATTCGTATTGAACAAACAATTATTGCCCACTCAGTATGCTTTTCAAAGTATCAATCTGATCATTTATACCATCATTAAACTAAACCAAACGCCTTTTCTTTCACTGGCGATGGCAAAATTGAGCTTATAAGCCTAAAAATTGCTAAAATCCTGTTTTTCTAGTGTCGCTATTTTGAAAATGAAAATTTGAGTTGGATTTTTCGATCTTTCCTCAAGCGAAGTAACCAATTCATAATAACGAATTTGTTGTAAAGAACAAGTGTTTTAATATTTACCTTACAAAGCTGATGATAGCAACTGTTTGGTTTGGAAGAAAATATGTATTAAAATTCAAATTTCCTGCAACTTCAGGTCTTGAACGTGCTTGACATAAGAATTAGTCTACTTTAACAGCTTTACTAAAGGCTGGTGCCAAGACAAGGTTCGGCCTGAATCCGTCCCCTGTAGCGCTTTCAACTTTGCACGCACTTGAATGAAGAAATTTACTTTCCAGCACCAATAATTCTGAATTCCGGTAAGTGAGACCTACTTTCTCTTAACTGTCCATTCAACATACAAAAAAAAAGGGTCCACTGAACACGTTACAGCAACTTTATAACAATTCTCGGGGTTATTTGCTACTCTGAGCGGCGAGTCGAATTTTGGCTGCCCCTTTTTTTCGTTATCTTAATAAGACAATTTTATTTGCCCACTTTTCTGTTTAAGATGTCTTAACTTATTCATATAAATTGGTGCTGAGATAGAAATTTTGGAAGCTGTTCAGTTATTAGTATTGATCCAAATGTAAGTTTGCGAGATGGAGAGGATTTTTTCTTTAAATTCTGACGCAAGGTATCAATATGGTAAAAACTGGATCAGCTCTTGAGGCTATTTGCAAAAGCCTCAACAGAATGTCTTTTTCAGGGCAGCCAAATCTTTGAAATTAAGAACCTTCACTTATTTTAGAGAGCTTTTGCGAGCGCGAAAATAAGAATATTAGGAAGCTTCCGTTGACATAGGTTTCAACAGTTGCAGATTTTTTTAAAAAAATTAGAAAATGACCCGAAGTATCCTCCCGCCGAAAGGCTTTGACGCTGCCAAACACAAAGGGAATTCTCAAGACTGATCCTCCAAATTGAGACCATTTGAAATACTTATTGATCAACCAACAACGACCACAGCATTTTTTTTCTTGGTGTCTCAAGGACACATTCTACTCAATCTAAATGGACATTGTACATTCTATTTTTTTCTGTGTACTTATTTTTGTTTTCCCTGAAGGTATGGACATAAGACGGTCTTTTCAAACATTTCTGGTCGTATTCTTCGTGGTTTTAACAATAGAAGGAAAGAAACATGACACTCTGGTAATTATTACGCTAACAAAAACTTCATAAATCATCACAAACTCAGTGGAATCACTATGATCAAAGATCAGTTTATAATCTCATGATATGATGAGATTGTAAATCAATAAATATGATAAAATATGATAAATTAATAATAAATATGATAAATTTATTTATATATTTATATATATATAAAGGAGTTGCACCTACCAGTGAGATGCGATGAAAATACGTAGCGTCGTTAAAAATCTATTACATATACTTCCTAAAAAATTAATCACTGGTAATCTTTTTAATTAGTGGTGCTAAGGCAGCAGCTTTGCTGCGGTTAACAATCCGGCATTCAAGCCATATTTCGTCAACTGTTAAAACACCTAATGTTCTTACAAGACTCGGCCATCTGCAAGACCCCTTAGCTTCTCCAACCCTCCCTATTAACCTCTACTCTATGCATAAATCGTCTGTAAAGACTCACAAAGCTTTCATCGATTGTATTAGCGTGGTGGGCAAATTCGCATTCGTTCGTTATTTGAAAATACTTCTATAATATTTTGATTAAAACCCTCAGGAGGCACGGGAAGAAAAGATCAGAACTGTCAGAGATGTTGAGGGTAAGAATTTATAAATAAATATTAAAGTATCCGACATTATTTACCGCCTGGGGAGGAGCTAAAAGAATCTCGTTGTGTTATGATTGAATTTACCTGATCCCCCTACGAGGCTTTTTAATATTCCTTCCCCTCCTCCTTCCCTCATCAGCAGTCAATTGGCAGTCAATTTTCAATAGTCCCTCCTTTATACTCTATCGGCGATAACTGATCCTCCCCCTTCATTTCCCTCTTAAAACACGCAAATCAGTCCGCCACACACACCCTTCAAGCGATAAATAACGACTGTTCCTTAGAAAGAAGACAGGCAATTGCGATGAAATGTTTCGTCATTTATTTCGCTTTTCAACATTTCGTTATTCGACCACTCCATTCTGTTGAACTCGCTGCGATTCTATTTTTTTCCAAAAGGTACACCTCTATGACGTTACCATACTTGACCCATTAGTTATGGTTCGCATCAGTATTACATATTTCGTTTTGAAAAAAAATGAGGACTTTACTTGGAGGAATTTGAAATTAATTAAATTTGAGGTTTGGGAAATTTCATAAGCTTGCGTAGTTGAAATTAGTTATTTTCCTATTTCTAGTTGAAATAGAGTACGAACCAGTTGGATGTTTCAGAGACCAAAACAGCAAAAATCAACCTAGATTGTTAGATAAGTTGGTTAAAAACTTCAGAAAAAAAGGAAATTTGCCAGACGGCAAAAATATCTGGGACTTTTGGGAAGATATGAGTGAAGTCATACAGCTTTGTGCCGAAAGTGCTTTTAAGGACGGATACACGGCCGTGTTTGGAATTCAATACTTTGGAGAGTGCTGGTCTGGGAAAAACGCTGCGTTGAATTACGATAAATATGGAAAATCCGGCAACTGTATCAATGGCGTCGGAAAAGCAAGCACCAATTATATTTATCGCATCAAAGGTGAGCTACATCAAATCACTCTTATGGGTTTTGATTTACTCATTCATTAATTCATCCATCCATCCAACTGATTATGCTACTACAGACATGAACTTGGTTTTAATAAAATAGTGTTTCTCAAAATTAATTTTTTTGCACTTGCATTGGCTCTTGCGTTTGCATTTCAAACCACACCATCTCGCGCGGCTGACTTTAGGAACAGGTACCATTTCCACAGTTATATCTAACAACAGTTTTGGAAACTGTTTTCCACTTTGAGACACTAACGTCCGATTTTTGATTTGGCCACCAAAGTCTGATTTTTTATTTTGGACACTAGATTCCGATTTTTTATTTTGGACAACCGTGACCGATTTTTCATTTTGGACTCAAGTGTCCGAATTTTGTTTTGGACACCAGTGTCTCATTTTTGACTTAAGAAGCTTGAACACCAATGTCTGATTTTTGATTTTTTGACAATAGTGTCCAATTCTTGAATTTGAACGCTAGGGTATTATTTTTGATTTTTAACTCCAGTGTTCAAATTTCGATTTTTTTTTTTCGAGTCCGATTTTTTGACTTTGGACACTAGTGTCTGATATTTGATTTTAGACATTAGTTTCCGATTTTAGACACTAGTTTTCAATTTTAGGCCGATTTAAGTCACAAATGTCCGATTTTGGTTAATGGCGTCGTGAAGTTTAGTCGATGTCAAAGATAAGCCGAAAATCATTTACAATAAAAAAAATATATTACCAAAGAAGTCGTGTTTGTGCCATATCAGCCTAAAATGTCTTTTGCGTTGAACAGCAAAGTAGTTATTACATTATCTATGTCTATGGAAGTCTTGTAGTCGAGACCGAAGCGTTATCTGCCATCTTTGAAAAGGACTTCAAATACGATTGAATATCGTGCATTCCTGGTAAGTTGCGTTTGACATTTGAATACCTGTCTTACCCTAACAGTTGTCAACGTTTTTCCTCAGCGCATCCACTCCCAGTAAAATCTTCGCCGGCTTGTAATGTCGAAGGACAAACGTATGATGAGGGAGACAGCATGGAAGTGTACAATGGAGATCATAAAAACGGTCAATGTGATCAGTGTACCTGTGCGAACGGAAAAATAGACGACTGCCATTTCCTCTTCGACTGTGTCATGAACGATTCCAGTTGTAACGGCTATGTCAAGACATCAGCACAATGCTGTCCTAAGTGCCAAAAAGGTATTACATAGAGGGTATGGCAAGGTGACGAGAATATATAGATTTTATGTTCGAGTGCCAAGAACGATATCTTACGAGTCACGCAGCGAACGAGTGAGATACTGTTATTGTCACGAGAACATAAAATACATATATTCGAGGTGACGTGTAATTTTTATTTTTTTTATATGGACAATAAATATATATGATAGAGACTGAAAAGCAGGTTTAATTATGTTTATAAATGAACTTTGAATCGACCATACATCGTAGTATGAAGAGTCAGTATCAACAGGAGATTCTAGGCTATCAACTGAGGACTAGGACGTTGAGAGATCACTCAGTGACATGTGACTTGGTTGACAACTTAACCGTACAGTGAATAGCGACCGCAAATCATGATCGTGAAATAAGCAAGAAAATATTCAAAAATTGGTTGATACGCTGGTAAAATTTATCTTTTTATTTATTTCATTGCCTTGAATCATCCACAGATGTTCCCAGTAATGCACCTGTTTGTAAAGTCGACGACCAAACCTACAAACAAGGCGATAGCTTGGAACTTCTTAGAGACTTCCACGGCAAACAACTAGGCGAGTGTCATCAGTGTACTTGCATGGCAGGAAAATTGGAGAAGTGCCACAGAATCTACTACTGCGAGAAGAACAAAGCCGGGTGTAATAGCCATATAAAAATTCCAGGCCAATGTTGCCCGGCTTGCGCACGCGGTACGTAATTGTTTGATTGACTGGGTGTTTGGATGGAAGATAAAATAACCGACTCGCTAATCACGAGTGGATGAGTGAGTGACTGACTCACTGGTTAGCTAACTGGCTCGCAAACTCACCAACTGTTTGACTGACTCACTCATCAATTCACTTGCTCAGTGATTCAACTAATTTGCTTAGTGACCCACTGCCTGACTGGCGGACTGATTGACAAACTGACTGACTAGCAGGCTAGCAGGCTGGCTGGCTGGCTATCTAGCTGACTGACAAACAGACACACCGATTCACAGACTGACCCAAGAACGACGCAAGGACTGACTGTCTGGAAATGACTGACTGAATTTCCCGATTGCATTCAGTGATCATTCTCTAATTGTTCAACCAGTAAGAAATTATTAAAGTATTATACACAACCGCTTTTTTTTCAGTCGTACCCAAACCCTCCCCGCCTTACTGCAAGGTTGGAGCACGACATTACAAAGACGGAGAAAGTATGGAGGTGTTTTACATGTCCGCCGATAAGAAGACTGCGGCATGCGATCAGTGCTCTTGTCAGGGAGGCAAAGTAGACGGATGTCATCACCTCTTCCACTGCGAAATGGATAATCCGGAATGCGTGCGTTATGAGCATCGAGTGGACCAGTGTTGTCCAACCTGTGGTAAGCTTGAGTATTCTATTGGTTGATCAAGTTACACAATGTGATGTACTTGGCCACATTGATTAGGAGATTACCTGGAAAATCTAACCAAGAGGGTGGGGGAGTTTCCTGAAGGGCGTTTCATTCATGTGCATCTCACGAGACGGGTTCAGCTCGAGTTACTTTCGTAAAGCATGAGTCGTAACCAGATAGCTTCATCTGATATAACTAGTGGTAATATTTTATAATAATCTGATCTTGTAAACTTTTTGTGTCGTGAGGCGTGTCGTAAATTAATTGTGATAATGATTCAGACACCATCGTTGATTTATGATAGATTGATTCGCACACAGTGGATCTAAGCTAAAGGTAGAATCGGTCTTTCAGCCACGAGGACATTTGTATGTAAAACGTTTTTGTTTGAACATGATTACAAACGCAAACGGACCTCTCTTCGGAAGGATTGTTTATCAATTTATTGCTTTTTGACCCAGAAAAGTCTCATATGATTCTTTGTTCAGTTCTAGCTAATCCAAAGCCCCCGGCTCTCAGTTGTAAGATAAACGGCCGGTTGTTTCATGATGGCGAGAGTGCTGAGGTGCTGCAGCAATCTGTTGATAAGAGCAGTATAATCTGCCGACAGTGCAAATGTGACGCCGGGAAACACAAGTGTCATAAGATATTCGACTGCGATATTCAGGAATTGGGCTGTGAAAAATCTGTTAAAATAACTGGACAGTGTTGCCCAGTATGCGGTACGTATCCTCTCCACATTATTCACATTAACTTTGTAAAATGATGGTGAGACTGAACGTTGATAAAAATTATGTAAGAACTGCATCAAGAAATCAATATTTCTATTACTTCCTTTAAGCCTGTTACAACAATGGAGAGCAATTGTCACCAGGCGACCAATGGCAGAAAGTTTCTGGAGAAGACTGCGTGACATGCACGTGTCAGCAGGGTGGTATTGCACACTGTACAAGGAAGCCTGGAAGCTGTCAATCAGGTAAGAACCTAACAAAAAGCTTTAGTATGACGCCATGAATCATGAATCATGCATTCATGTCACCGCAGAGAATAAAAGTAACACTATTCAAAGTCAGAGTAAAGTTTAAAGCCAAGAAAATTTTGCTTGAGCCAGTCTACAAGACAAGTGGCTGTTGAAATTTCCAGTATTTTTCAAACCGATGCCTGACAACTGCGAATAATTATCACATGCCTTTCTTCTTTGGAGCTCGTTCAAAAAGTGAACCCCCTTAATTTCATTTTTCAGCGTGCGTCTTAATAGACCCTTTACTCAGAATTCCAGGATTAGAAGATCATTGAACTGTTATCGAATGCCCTTGCTTATTCCTAAATGATTGCAATGTTTTAATTAATATTCAGCCATGTTTTAACTCGTAATCATTGCGTAATTTTTTCGTGTTTATTTCTCAGAATGAAAGAGTCTTCAGCAGCTCAGCTGAAGAGCTGAACAAGGACAGCAAATGGAATTCGCATGAATTTTATGAAATTCCTTAACTGTGTTAAATTGTGTAAAGTACGATAAGAATAAAGTCACAGTTAATCTGAGTAAGACTTGAAGTGAAGTATTTAAATGACTAGATGGCTAGATGCATATTTGGTTAGTCTATTCCTGACAGTACCCTTGTGGTGATATGCAAAAAAATTGAAAAAAAAAGCTGAGAAAACTTTAAACAAAGCGAGCCAGCGAAGAAAATCGAGGCAAGGCTTAGGCAAAGGAGGCATTGATTCACCTTGCCCACTTGCCTGTACCTCTTCAACTCGGCCCAGACCCCACAAATGTTGGCTTGCTCTCCTCTGACCGCGACACCTGCATCGAATTAATTTTTTGTTGGAGTGGCTTCATGTTTCTTTCATGATTCCTCAGATATGTCTCCCGTCTGGTACATTTTGTCCATAATTCCTTCGATGAAATAATCGTTGTTCCCCAACAGACGTTTTGTTTTTTACCGTTTAGTAGAGAAAAACGCTATTTCGGTAAGGAAACGTTTTGAATCAATTGTTTCTTTTCAGTACTCCTAAAGGCTCCCTAAGCTGGTCCTCTCGTAATCACACATGTGAAGGGAATCCAACCGAATTTGTAATCGCTTTATTCTACAACCCACAGAAATTACATTTAAACAATGGTCAAACGAAAGTGCCGAGCCCCATAAAAGCCAAGCCGATAACAATAATCAGTGTTATACGTTGAGGTAAATTGCCTTTGAACATAAAAAAATTTCGGCCAATTTCTGCAAACTGAAATAAATAAAAAACTGGACAGCTAATTAATAATACAAACAGGCGGAGGAAAAGTATCAGAAACCAAGGAAATTCACTAATAAACGCGTTTGACGCGATAAATAACGTTGACGAAAAGTTATGAAAATGGAAAGTGTGATTACGCTTAATAAGTGTCTCATTTGCTAGAAGAGATATGACAGCCTTCCTGTGGTCAATGGCCGATTTATCCAAAAAACAAAACGAAACGAAAGAGAAGGCACATGTATGTGAGGAATTTCTCGTGGAACGATTTCACTGATGTCTGAACCCATGAAATTCATTTGTTTCGTTGATTGACTCTATGTTAAATTTTCAGGTTTATTCATTTAGTTGAGAAAAAAATATAATTCATTGTCAATAATTAGCTTTTCTCCCGCCATTTTCATTTATAATCAGTATCATTGTTCCTAAGTCTGAGCTCAAACGCAAGCTTTTAGCAAGGCTTTTCGTGTCTCGCCGAGCTCAAAATGTGCAGTGATTATTTTCATCGTGATTATTAGAAAATTAAGGAGAAAGGAGCTCCTTGTTGGATCAATGATTTCAGAAATGTAAATAAAAAACCGGAAAACCCTTTTCACGGCATTTGACATACTTAGCTAGTTAAAGCGGTATCTCAGCTACTGTTAATTGAAGCTGGAACTCGTCATAAATAAATGCGTTAAGTTAACGCGAGAAGCTTTTGAAGACTCTTCAAGAAACGACTCTAAGGTGGGTTAAGAGCAATTTTTTAAAAACGAACAATTTATTCCTGTTTAAATGACATTGGTCAACAGCGATCACAAAAATACATGCAGTTGTCTATCGCTGATCTTTGATTTTACTTTTGTAACAGTTCAGACTAATCTGCTTTTATCTGAACTCACCAACTTTTCCCCGATGAGAAAACTTGAGTAGTTAACAAAGATTAAGCTTTTTTCACTTTTGTCTTTCTTTTAAAAGTTACTTCAAGATTACATGAGCAGCAAAAAGTTGCTTTTATGCCACATTTAAAATGAGATTATCACTATCGATATATATAGATTGCAGAAAAGTGAATGATCAGTTGGACTATTAAAAGTTATCCGAATTACAAATCAAATCAATATGTCTACAGTTTGTTCTTATAAAATCGTAAGTCTCCTAATGATATGTAATTGGTCTAACGAGATAACCATGAATATTTGATGTTTTTTCCGAGGGCAAAGAAAAAAACCTTTTTCCAGAGAAAAAATTAGTCTAGAGGAGCCGATGTTTAAGACAATGACTGTTTGTTTTAAATATATTGATATCCAACAGCAGATTTACAAAATAAACAATGAAATCTAAAGATTGTGAAATGGCAGGGCAACCAACCGGGTGCAGACAATAACTCATAGTCTATTGCATGAAAGAAAACTTCGTTATTTGATCAGCTTTTTGTTAAGGTTTTGGTTTATTTCCTCTTTGTATAACAAGCTACGTTTAAAATGCTCGAAATGCCCCTCAACTATTTCATTTTTCAGGCTCTTACGGATTTTTCAGTCGTTATTAATCTAGATAAAGTACTGCGTTGTCAATGCTTTCAGTGGCGTTGGGTTTTTCCCTTTTTTTGTCCGTTTTTGAGATTATCGTTTATCAATCCAGTTTATTTTGAATAGACTAATCAAGAGAAAATTTCAATTTATCTGTTTAACGATGTTCATGTTTACATATGAAGTGACTTGTTATTCTCTTCAGAAGAAAACAAAGAGATGGAGGCTGTAAAGAAAATTGTACTTCTCCTGTTGGTTCACATGGCTTTTTTCCTAGAAATTAAGGTAAAAGTCAAGAGCTAGTGGCTGCATTTCAGCTTGAATTAACCTTTTACACCCTAAGATCAGTATGCATATTCTCCTTACCGTTTGCCATTCATCTCCTATGGCACCGACAAGGAGAATTTGTTCAACAAGGAAGAGCTTCTTTTGTAAGCGATCATTTCTTTTTTTCTTATGACTTGAATATTTGATTCAGTAGTAATACTGTTTGGAGAATTTGGACGCTATCACTCCCAGAGGTTAAAAGATTGATAGAGTTATCATGGGTACGGTCAAGTTTGCTCACGATGCTATTTGCGGACGCTTTCGTCTCGCAAACAAATAACATAGAACAAAGCTGACTTCAGTTCATAGATATTACTTCGAGAATATTACTTCTAGAAATAATGTAACCAGATCTACATGATTAAGAATTTTTTTCTCCGTGGCTATGTCTAGACGAGAACAGTGCTAACAAGAAATAATTTCTTCATAAAAAAAATAGTTGTGTCGAAAAAAGTTTATCCCGGTTCTCAATTTATCATTTTGTTAATTTAGTCGCACTTTTTCTTTTTAGGCTGCAGGAGAGATAATATCAAATTCTGGTGAGAAGTTAGAATAACAGTATTTGTTACCTTCTCTGAATTTTTGTTACTTTATTTCATTCTGTTTCATTTTATTGTATTTTTGCTATAATATGCCAAGCTCCTTCATTAAAGACTGTTACGCTCTCTTAAATCACAGACGGTGGATTTCATTACAGATATCTTGGCTGTTACCGTGACAGGCCATCAGCTCGAGCTCTTCCCAAGCTCTACTTTAATGCCAAAAAGTACGTCAATTGGAAAGTCAAAGGATATAACTTCAAAACAGTGATTGACATGTGCGCTGCGCATGCGCGTAACACAAGTGACGTGTTTGTGTTTGGAGTTCAACACTTCGGAGAATGCTGGGGAAGTAACAAAGAAACTGGTTATGATGTGTACAAGGAATCAAAACAATGCTTTTATGGTGTTGGTGGTAAATGGACAAATGCAGTGTACGAGCTAGTTTGTAAGTTCTGCTTATACCTCCTAGTAATAGTTGATCAAGTTTACTTTTTTCAAAGTTTAGGAAAACTGATTAAAAATTCCGCTTTTTTTTTTTTTTGTGCTCTCACCGCCTTCGTATAAATTTAAATTATTGTCAATGTCAGTGGCACGAGGATAGCTTTTGATTTTTTTAATATTAATCCGTATAATTGCTTAACGATCATGCGCTTTTTCTTTCTTTTTTTCCGTTTCGTTTTGTTTTCATTAGTATCAAAGCTGTAGAAACTCTTTACGGTGGCCAATTTACATCATTACCTCAGTGGATAAAAGCAAATGATCTTGGTATACTCCTCCACCGACGCAATACCACATTTTCTTTAAAACTTACCCCCTTTTATTTCATGGAGCTTGTTTCTCACATGGATGTTGATGTTTATGCTTTTACAGATGAGTGTGAAGCTAACGGGATGAAATACAAAGACGGACAAACATTCTATATTCCACAGAATCCTATTGTTTACAACGATATGGGCTGTCAGATATGTTCATGTGATCGAGGAGCCAAGAATTGTTACGGTCGAGCCAGCTGTGATTTTTTCTTTCCCTGCGAGAAGTTTGTTCCAGCTGCTCAGGGAAAATGTTGTCCTACATGCGGTAAGTTTGAGATGGGAGAGCAGATTTTACATGAATGTGATTTGGAGAGTGAAAACTTATCAAATCATAGGAATTGCTTATTAAAAGCATCCAAAACATTACATTAGTCGCTTTTTCTTTCAGCTTGTTATCACAAAAACAAGTACTACAAAGACGGTCAGACTTGGATAAACAGGCAACCAAATAGCTGTTATGAATGCGCATGCGTCTCAAGCCAGACGAAATGTAAAGTGGTGCAATGTGCGGCGAATTGTCCGAACCCGGTGTACGAGCCTGGGAAATGCTGTCCAACATGTAGTAAGTATATCAAATCACTAAAGAGCAAGATATGCTCATTAATTCATCTTTTTTCCCAAAAGAGGAACGTTAACGAATCCCGTTATTTGATTTGTTTTTTAGCATTGTCCAGATTCGTGCCCAAGGTCACGCGCACATTTTTATGAGTTTATAAAAGTTATTCGAAAGCGAATACGAAATAAATTTTGATAGCTTCCCACCCGGCTTCAGTCTGTTAATGTTAAGTGACAAACAGAGACCTCAAACGCGACAATGATGCTCTTGGCCTGCAACCTCGGGCAGCACTTCCAAGACCTTAGCCACACTTTTTCACCAATTGGATCTCCAGGCAGGAAAAGCATTATAACACATATTTCATTTAGTTCTGTCAGCGTAAGGAAAAGAGGCATTCACTACACTTGTAAGTTGTCAGATCCCCTGTCCGCAAGTTTATGATTCCCTGACCTCAGGCGAACTCTAAGATGTTCAACCCATAACTGTTCTGTGGTCGTATCTGTGAAAGGGACCTCTAGAAGGCACACTTATATATTTTCGGAACACCAAGCAAAAAACC